CTTTCACTCTGCACTTTCTCCTCACCTCCCACTATGCTGGGCACTGTGACCATGTAGCTGTCCCCTGCTTTTGCCTACTTATACACACAGCCTGACCTCCCCTGGGTTTCAATTCTTTTGTCTTCTATGGCTTTTACAATGCTGATAATATAAAACCCTGAAAAAAAAAAAAAAAGAAAAAAAAGAAAGCTCTCACTAGTGTAAAACTGGAATGAAGCAACTGCATGCAAAAAAAAAAAATGGGAGGCAAAGAAACAAAAATGCCACCTTATCTTTACAGTCTACCTCCATAGAGAGCTCTAGTACACCTTGCCTCCAATAACCTGTGCCTTAAGCATGCATGGTAGGGAATTTACCAAGATGCCACTGCTGTACAGTCTCTGCAACACTCACAATAGGACCCAGCTACTCCTTTTGCTCATCCCTTAGAAATTTGATGTTCTCCCGAGGGTAGGCAGCAGTTACCGCACTGTCACAGGAAACCAGAACCTCTGCTGCACGCTGGTACAATTGCCTGGAGCAGACAGAGAACATTGCTGCATGTCTTTTCTTGCAGAACCTTTCATAAGGCTTACTATGAACTGCCATGGGTAGTCAACGCTATAAAACCCCTTGGCATCTGGGGCAGGGAGAGAGGAGGGGATGACAGGATAATGAGGGAGAATTGCAGGAACAGAACTGTAAAATGGCACAGTAGTTTCTCACCCCACTGCCAGAGGAGAGCAGAGGCTACTGAGAAAAGGAGGGCCATTTGCTGACTGAAGAGAGCATCATGTTCTGGGCAGATATGTGCACTTCATCCACTATGGGTTAGACAAGGACTATGGCTGGCAGGGCAGCAGTGGTAGATCTATCATCCTTTATTCTCATCCAGTGACACAGTATCCTCATGCAAACAGCCCCCCACAGTGCGGTTTGATTTTAGTGGTTTATTTTTTATTTGTTTATTTATTTAGTTTTGAAAGGAATTGCACAGCAATAATCTCAGGCATTTGCACCAGGAGCAGTAGTTAATCACAGAATTGCAGGGGTTGGACCTCAAGAGATCATAGAGTCCAACCCTATTGCTAAAGCAGGTACCCTACAATAGGTCACACTGGTAGGCATCCAGATGGGTCTTGAATATCCCCACAGAAGGAGATTCTGCAGCTTCTCTGGGCAACATGTTCTAGTGCTCTGTCACTCCTACCATAAAGAAGTTCTTCTGCATGTTAGTACAAAACTTCCCGTGTTCAAGTTTTAGGCCATTACTCCTTGTCCTTTCACTGTACACCACCAAGAAGAGCCTGGCTTCATACATTTGCCTCCTATCTCCCTACTTATAAAGGTTTATCAGATTCCCCTCAATCTTCTTTTCCTGAACAGAAGAGGAACAGACCCAGGTTATTCAGCCTTTCCTCATACAGGAGATGCTCCAGGCCCTTAATCACCTTTGTAGCCCTCCACTGGACTCCCTCCAGGAGATCCCTGTGTTCTTTGAACTGGAGAGCCCAGAACTGGACACAGTAATCTAAACGTGGCCTCACCAAGGCAGAGAGGGGAGAATAATTTCCATCAACCTGCTGGCCAAGCAGGATCAGAGAATCAACAAGATTGGAAAAGACCTCTAAAATCTTCCATGCCAATTGTCCACCCATCACCAATATTTCCCACTAAAACACATCCCTCAGTACAGCATCTAAACATTCCTTGAACAAATCCACAGATGGTGACTCCACCACCTCCCTAGGCAGCCCATTCCAACACCTGACCACTCTCTCAGAGAAGAAGTATTTGAGGCCATATCCTCTCATCCTATTGCTAGTTACATGGGAGAAGAAAGTGATTCCCACCTCACCACAATCTTTCTTCAGAGGATGGTAGAGAACAGTAAGGTCTCCCTTGAGCCTTTTCCTCTCCAGACTAGACAATCCCAACTCCCTCAACCACTCTTCACAAAACTTGTGCTCCAGACCCCACACCAGCTTTGTCGCCCTTCTCTGGAAGTACTCCAAGGCCTCAATGTCTTGAGGGGCCCAAAACTGAACAAAGTACTCAAGGTGTGGCTTCACCAGGGCTGAGTACAGAGGGATGATCACTTCTCTGCTCCTGCTGGCAACACTGTTTCTGACACAAGCTAGGATGACATTGACCCTCTTGGCCACCTAGGCATGCTGCTGGCTCATGTTCAGTTGAGTAACTGCCGACAGCCCCAGGTCCATTTCCTTCACACAGTCTTCCAGGCACTCTGCCCCAAGCCTGTGGTATTGCCTGAGGTTGTTGCGGACAAAGTGCAGGACCCAGCACTTGGTCTTATTGAACCTCATCCCAGTGGCCTCTGCCCAACGATTCAGCCCATCCAGATCCCTCTGTAGGGCCAACCTTCCCCCAGGCAGATCAACACTTCCTCCCACCTCAGAGTCATCTTTAAACTTACTGAGGGTGCACTCAATCCCCTCATCCAGGTCATCAGTAAAGATATTGAATAGGGCAGACCCCAATATCAACCCCTGAATGAACAGGGGGTTCTGCCCCCTGGGGAACACCACTCATGATCAGTTGCCAGCTAGATGTGACTCCATTTACCACCATTCTCTGGGCCTGCCCTTCCAGCCAGTTCTTTACCCAGGAGAGACTGTATCTGCTCAAGCCACGGGCTGCCAGCTTCTCCAGGAGAATACTGTGCAAGGCTTTGATGAAGGTTAGGTAGACTATGTCAACAGCCTTTCCCTAATCCACCAGATGGGTCAGTTGTTCATAGAAGGAGATCAGGTTGATCAAGCAGGAGCTGCCTTTTATGAACCCATGCTGGCTAGGCCTGATCCCTTGGTTGTCCTGCACATGCTGTATGATCTCCTTCAAGATGATCTGCTCCATAACCTTTCCTGGCATCAAGGTCAAGCTGACAGGTCTGTAGTTTCCTGGATCCTCTTTACCACCTTTCTTGTAGATGGAAATACACTGGCAAGCCTCCACCCCTCTGGGACTTCTCTGGTTAACCAGGAATGCTGATAGAAAGCAGATTAGCTATCACCTCCACCAGTTCTTTCAGCACCTCAGGTGGACCCCATCTAGCCCTGTGGACTTGTCACAGTCCAGGTGGAAGCAGTAGGTCTCTGTTTCCATCTGAATCATGGAGGGTTTATTCTGCTCCCCATCCAAGACTTCCAGTCAGGGTGTAGAGTACTTTGAGGATAACTGGTCTAACTTTTAAAGGCAGATGTAAAGAAGGCTCAGTCTATTTCTCATCCTCAGTGGTAACATTCCTCGCTGCATCCAGTAAGGCACGAAGATTCTCCTTAGCCCTTCTCTTACTGTTAAAATATTTGTAAAAATTTTTTTTTTGTTCTCTGTTATTCCAATGTCCAGGTTGAGTTCAAGCTGGGCTTTTGTCTTTCTAATTTTTCTCCCTGCACATCCTAACAACTTCTTTGAACTCTCATTGAGTTGCCTATCCCTTCCTCCACAGGAAGATTGTCTTTTTCTCCTGGAGCCTCAGGAAAAGCTCCCTGTTCATCCACACCGGTTGTCTTCCTCACCAGCTCATCCTGTGGCATAGGGGGATAGCCTGCTCCTGCACCTTTAAGAATTCCTTCTTGAGGAGCAACCAGCCCTCCTGGACCCCTTTACCCTTCAGGGCTGAATCCCAAGGAACTCTCTCACCAGCACCCTGAACAGTTCAAAGTCTACCCTCCAGATGTCCAAGGTAGCAGTTTTGCTGCCTCCCAACCTGACTTCACCAAGAATCAAGAACTGTACCATTTTGTGGTCACTTTGCCCAAGACAATTCCCAGCCTTCACATCCCCCACCAGCCCTTCTCTATGAACAACAGGTCTAGCAGGGTACCTTCCCTGGTAGGCTCTCTTACCAGTTGTGTCAGAAAGTTATCTTCCATACGCTCTAGAAACTGCCTAGACTGCTTCTTCTGCACTGTATTGTATTCCCAGCATATATCAGGGACATTGAAGTCCCCCTTGAGAACAAGGACTGGCAATCACACAACTTTTGCAGCTATTCAAAGAATGCCTCATCTGTCTGTTTATCCTGGTTAGGCAGTCTATAACAGAGCCCCACCAGAATGTCTGCTTTGTTAGCCCTCCCCCTGATCCCTGCCCGTACAGACTCAACCTTACCATTTCTAGCCCAAGCTCAACAGCATCAAAGCACTCTATAACATAAAGAGCCACATCACCTCCCTCCTTCTTTGCCTGTTGTATGGGAACTATTGAATCACAGTCTGAACCTCTGATTGATCACCTGTGGCAAGCAATGAGTCAGCCACAGGAGCACAGGTGAAGACAATTCAGCTGTGTAACCAGAAGGGGTGGAGCTAACAGCCCCAGTCCCCTGAAGTCCTTTCTGATAGTCCTCAGGCTTCTCTCAGTGACTTCAAGACTGCCGGCCTGAACTACCAGTAAAGGACAACGATCAGAGGGGTGTATCACACAAGGCAGTTTCCCAGAATTATCCCTGGCCTGGTCCATGCAGTCAACACCCCTCCCTGTGGTACCTTGGTCCTTCCTGGCCAGGGTAGCCTGGAGGTGTGGAGAAGACCGCCTCAACAACCTCATGGGTGGACCTCACATCGCATCCTCATTCACCGCTCCCTCAGATTCCAGAGCCTCAAACCTGTTATGTAGGGGCACCCGGGGAACCAAGGCACCTCGGGATGAGGGCTGCCTGGGATGCTGCACAAACTGCCCCATTGCTGTTCGTGCTGCTCCTGCTCCGCCTCCACGACATCACAATGCCGCCGCCATACAGAGGACAATGGCGCCCTGAGCTGCTCCTTGACATGGTGGCCCTTCAGCCAGCTGAGGCCATTCCCTGCTTTGGCGCGGAATGTGTCTGCTCCAGAGCTGATTACCGTGC